GAGGGCATGTATTGCATGGAGCACTGGGTGTTATATGAAAACAATGAATCATGGAACACTACATCAAAAACTAATGATGTAATGTATGGTGACTAACATAACATAATAAAATAAAATTTAAAAAAAACTAATGATGTATGGTGGTTAACATAATAAAATTAAAGAATAAAAGAAACATCATAGCAAAAAAAAAAAGAAATTGAAGATGACACTAAGAAATGGAAATACATTCCACGCTCATGGATTGGAGAACAAATATTGTTAAAATGTCTATACTAGGGGCACCTGAGTGGCTCAGTAGGTTAAACATCTGCCTTCGGCTCAGGTCATGATCCCAGGGTTCTGGGATGAACTCCACATTGGACTCCTTTTCAGCAGGGTGCCTGCTTCTCCCTCTGCCTGCTGCTCACCCTGCTTGTGCTCTCTCTCCGACAAATAAATAAATAAAATCTTAAAAAGAAAACCCTAAAAAAAAAAAAAAACCCTAAATATGAGACCTGAAACCCCCATAAAAATCCTAGAAGAGAACAGAGGCAGTAACTTCGTCGTCATTGGCCATAGCAACTTTTATCTAGATATGTCTCCTGACGTAAGGGAAACAAAAGCAAAAAGAAAATATTGGGACCACATCAAAATAAAAAGCTTCTGCACAGTGAAGGAAACAATCAACAAATCTAAAAAGCAACCTACAGAATGGTAGAAGACATGGGTTACTATCCAAAATATATAAAGAACTTATACAACTCAACATCCAAAAAACAAATAATTCAATCAAAAAATGGGCAGAAGACATGAACAGACATTACTCCAAAAAAGACATTCAGATGGCCAACAGACACATCAAAAGATGTTCATCATCACTTACCATCAGGGAAATGCAAATTAAAACTACAATGAGATATCACCTCATACCTGTCAGAATGGCCAAAATCAACAACACAAGAAACAACAGTGTTGGCGAGGATGTGGAGAAAGGGGAACCCTATCGCACTGTTAGTGGGAATGCAAACTGGTGCAATCACTTGAAAACAGTATGGAGGTTCCTTGAAAAATTAAAAATAGAACTACCCTAAGATCCAGCAATTGCACTACTGGGTATTTACCCAAAGAACACAAAAACACTAATTCAAAGGGATACATGCACCCCTGTGTTTACTGTAGCTTTATTTACAATAGCCAAGATATGGAAGCAGCCCAAGGGTCCACCAACTGGTGAATGGATAAAGAAGATGTGGTATATATATATACTATGGAATATTATTCAGTAGTTAAAAAAAGAATGAAATCTTGCCATTTGCAACAACCTGGATGGAGCTAGAGAGTATAATACTATGGGAAGTAAGTCAGTCAAAGAAAGACAAATACCATATAATTTCACTCATATGTGGAACTTAAGAAAAAAAACAAATGAGCAAAGAGAAAAAAAAGAGAGAGAAATCAAGAAACGGACTCTTAATTATAGAGAACAAACTGATGTTACCAGAGGGAAGGTGGGTGAGGGGATGGAGTGAAACAGGTGATGGAGATTAAGGAGTGTACTTGGTGTGAGGAGCACCAGGTGATGTATGGAAGTGTTGAATTGTACACCTGAAACTAATATTACACTGTATGTTAAGTAACTGGAATTAAAATAAAAACTTAAAAAAAAAGAATAAACTTCATGAAATACCTCTTCAGCTTTGAGTAGGTGATTTTTTTTTTAATGTGCAAAATATAGGACCAAGATTATTATGCAAATAAAACACTTTTCTTCATTTATTTATTTAAAAATATTTACCCAGTGCCTATTATATGCCTGACCACTCTTCTAAACACAGGACATACTGTACTAAACAAAAATTAGACAAAAACTCCTAACTTATTTTCTTTATTTTCTTGTCAAAATCATTAATAAAATGCATTAAGAAATAAAATAATAATTATAGTTACCAACAATTTAATACATCATACAATTTCATTACTTAAAGTTACTAATTGTTAACCAGAAAATAACTAAATTTTGTATGTCTATTAATATGGAAAAGAATAAATTGAGAAAAATAATTTTGGCCATGAGATAAATAGGAAATGTTTAGCTTTCTTTAAAAAAAAATCTGGCAAGATTTATAAAGAGCTTATCAAACTCAACACCCAAAAAACAAATAATCCACTGAAGAAATGGGCAGAAGACATGAACAGACATTTCTGCAAAGAAGACATACAAATGGCCAACAGACACATGAAAAAATGCTCCACATCACTCAGCATCAAGGAAATACAAATCAAAACCACAATGAGATACCACCTCACACCAGTCAGAATGGCTAAAATTAAAAGTCAGGAAAAAACAAATGTTGGTGAGAATGCGGGGAAAGAGGAACCCTTATACTCCTGGTGGAAATGCAAGCTGGTACAGCCACTCTAGAAAACAGTATGGAGGTTCCTCAAAAAGTTGAAAATAGAGCTACCCTACGATACAGCAATTGCACTATTGGGTATTTACCCAAAGGATACAAACACAGTGATCCGAAGGAGCACCTGCACCCCAATGTTTATAGCAGCAATGTCCACAATAGCCAAACTATGGAAAGAGCTCAGATGTCCATCAACAGATGAATGGATAAAAAAGAGGTGGTATATATACACAATAGAATATTACTCAGCCATCAAAAAATGAAATCTTACCATTTGCAATGACATGGATGGTACTAGAGCGTATTATGCTAAGGGAAATAAGTCAATCAGAGAAAGAGAGTTATCATATGATTTCACTAATATGTGGAATTTAAGAAACAAAACAGAGGATCTTAGGAGAAGAGAGGGAAAAATAAAATAAGACGAAATCAGAGAGGGAGACAGACCATAAGAGACTCTTAACTCTATAGTTAAACAATCTGAGGGTTGCTGGAGGCAAGGTGGGTGGGGAACTGATGGGCATTAAGGAGGGCATGTGATGTAATGAGCACTGGGTATTATATGCAAGTGATGAATCAATGAACTCTACCTCTGAAATGATAATACACTATATGTTAATTAATAGAATTTAAATAAAATAATTTTTTAAAAAAATCTGGCAGAACTAATACTGCATATGTTACCTAAATTGAATTTAAATAAAGAATATTTTTAAAATCTGGCATTTTTTAGATCATATTATTAAGACTGATTTAGACAGAAAAAATATTAGTATTAAATTAACATATATCTATACAAACATATTTGTATAAACATAGGAAAGAACTGAAAAGGATACAAAAAAAATTGTTTCCAACAGATACTTCTGTATGGGAGGGAGTGCAATGAGTCAGAGGGAGAGATGAGTTTTCCTTTTTTATACTATATAATTATTTAAAATGGAGTCTGAGTGATTTTTGCACTCCTATGCTTCATGGTACTTGTCAAACAAAAAAGAGAGAGAGAAAGGCTGGTACGAATAAAATTTGTAAAATAAAATAACAAGACTGACTATGCAAAGACCCAGAATTTTCCAATTGTGGATAATAAAACAATTATGGCCTAAAATCAAATGATATTGCAAGAAAATGACTGTAAAATTAAGAGAGCTCAATGACTCACCAAAGGTAAAGAGACAAGTAGAGAAAACCCGGGGACATTGCCAAGTTTAGATAGTGTACTAGTAACACACAGGCAGGCAGAAAAGAAATTCGTTTCAGTCTGCAATGTGCAAAAACCAGGATGCCTGGGTTCCTCTCACTAAGCACTTGTAAGGTAGTAATTTCTTTGAGGTTTGGATTGATTTAAATTGAGGTTTGACATCACCTTTGATCCTAATTGGTGAAGTTTTAGTTCAATTTGGGAAAGGTTATGAGAAATGTGACTTTGAGGGGAACAAAGGTGATAATGATGATGATCGATAATGATGATGACTAGTTTCTCACAACTGTAAATGTTTACTTTTATCTTAGATAAATTCAAGCTGTCAGCCATATTTAATGAGTATGATTGACTAGTCTGAGAACTTGATAGATTTCTAAAAGTGATTTTTTCTATTATTCTATACTTGTCAACAGCATATTTTAATAATCATCCAGTAAACCATTCACTTCCTGTCAAGCACAGAGTAGAGGTGATGAGAGGTAAGACAAAGCAAATACAGTAGCATTCAATAACCATCACCTCCAATGTAGAACAAAACAAGAGAGATAAAATAAAATTTTATTACTATTATTATTATCGTCATCATTAGTTTGTTATAGCAGGATCTGCTAAGACCTGCATATCATGTTGGCCATTTTATCTTTCAAAATTTCTGGTTTTTAATATAACATGTTACCTGAAAACTTTATGCTGGTCTCCAGACCTGATACTTGCAGCTCGATCATTGGGAAAGGCTATCAGTGCACCCTTCATTGACTCTTTACTTATGCGATGATTGTGAAGGCGTGTCATGGCTGATTGAAGCATTGTAACAGGTGCACAGTCCTTGTATTTTGGCAAGTCTCTAACCACAAACTGTCCCGTAGGATTACTGACCAAAGGGGATATACCTTTTATGGAATTGAATAATAAGTTAAATACGGTTTCTTGAATTTCAGCTTTCCAAATAATATCCATGTATTAATACACTACACTGTTGGTTCTAACTTAAAACTAAATCCCTAAAAAAACACATTTAGAAAATACAAATAATTCATCTAATAAATGGACCTACACAAGACAATTTAGAAAATATTGCATACATAAAGAAAACATAGTAATGTGAAGGAATGGGTTCGCCTTTGTGACAATCTTTTATAGATCAAAGAGAGCTGAATATCAGCAATTTCATATGGCTCAATGTATAAAAGATAATTGAGTATTACAGGGAATAGCAACAAGATAATGCATGGAATGGTCAAAACTAGTTTATATTACAGACTCAAACTAAAATGTGGAAGAATATAAAAACCAATAAAATACTTAATAAATTTTATAGATCACTAAACCAGTGCTATGCAAATTGTAATCCTCAAAATGGCAGCATCAGCAACTGTCAGGGACATGTTAGAAATGCAAATCTTTGGGTTCTACCAAAGACCTATTTAACAATCAATTCTGGGATACAGACCAGTGAGATCTATTTTAACTAGCCTTCTAAGTGATTTTGATGCATTCATAAGGTAAGTACCGCAATAGCAGACCACATTTGATACACATAGCTAAGCAATTGGTGTGCTAAAATAATCCTATATAACCTTAATTTAAAAAAAAAATAAGTGTCCACATTAGCTTACCAGGATTAATTTTCATCACAACTTTCTTGGTGGAAGGTTTGCAGACGCTCTTGAAATCTAAATATATTTGATGAAAAGGCTTTAGCGATGACTGCAAATTTTCATCTGCCACTGAGCCAATAATCTCTATCAATTGCTTCACTTTAAAGACTCCTACTTGATGTGGAATGAATGAACATGTCACATTCTAAAAAAAGAAAAAGTAACCAATTGCTATAGGCTGAATGTTTGTGAATCCCCAAAACTCACATATTTAAACCTAACGCCCAGTGTGATGGAATTAGGAGATAGGGCCTTTGGGAGGGCCCTTACCTGACCATGCTGGCACCTTGATCTAGGACTTCTAGCCTACAGTACTGTGAGAAATAAATTTCTGTTGCTTATAAACCATGCAATCTATGGTATTTTGTTTTAGCAGTCCAAATGAATTACAAAAATAATATTAAACTGTTGGAAAAAATAAAAAGCAAATAAAAAAACTGTTTATAAAATTTTAAAGGAGAGCTAGTCCATCACCATAATATAAAAGTAGCTTAGAAATACCATAAACAGCATTGACAAACCTTTAAGATATATATTACTGGAAAAGTATTTAAGAAAAAATTAAGAACAATGTTACTGAAGCACCTCCAGAATAGCAAATCAAGGATCTCCAAATATCTATTCCTCTACAAGGGAAAGAAACCACTGGAATAACTGTCAAAATCAACTTTACACATATTTTAAAATTACCCAAAAGCTTATAAAAATCCAAGGAGTATTTAAGAAAAACATAGCTGATCAGCGATCAGAAAGGATGAATACCTACCATTTACATCAACATGGATGAAACTGGAGGGTATTATGCTAAGTGAAATAACTCAATCAGAGAAAGACAATTATCATATGGTTTCACTCATATGTGGAATATAAGAAATAGCACAGAGGATCATAGGGGAAGGGAGGGAAAACTGAATGGGAAGAAATCAGAGAGGGAGACAAACCATGAGACTCCTGACTCTGGGAAACACACTGAGGGTTGCAGAAAGGGATGTGGGTGGGGGGATGGGGTAACTGGGTGATGGGCATTAAGGAGGGCATGTGATGTAATGAGCACTGGGTGTTATACACAACTAATGAATCTTTGAACACTACACCAAAAACTATTAATGTACTATATATTGGCTAATTGAATTTAAATAAATATTTTAAAATAGCTGAATCTCTGAAAGAATAACAGGTTTCGTGTCATTTTTATACACTGTAATCCCATCCTCCTCTTCCCAGTTTTGAGCTCTCCTTGAAAAACAACAGCCTTGTAACTATGGCAGCTGTAAAAACTATTAGCCTAGCAGCCAGGGAGGGAAAAGATTGGGTTTGGAGCTCTCCAAAAATCTTATCCCCAGAGAATTGTCCCTATTTATCCTGTCTAGAAGCTAGCTAAAAAGCCTCCTATAAGGGTATTTTTTTTTTTTTTTAAGATTTTATTTACTTGACAGAGAGAGAAGGAACACAAGCAGGGAGAGCAGCAGAGGGAGAGGGAGAAGCAGGCCCCCTGCAGAGCAGGGAGCCTAATGCGGGGCTCTCAATCCCAGGATCCCGGGATCATGACCTGAGCCGCTGAAGGCAGACACTAAACCCAATGAGCCACCCAGGTGCCCCAGGGTATTATTACTATTATTTTTTAAAGATTTTATTTATTTGACTGAGAGATAGAGAGAGCACAAGTAGGCAGAGTGGCAGGCAGAGGGAGAGGGAGGAGGAGACTCCCCGCTGAGCAGGGAGCCCAATGTGGGACTCGATCCCAGGACCTTGGGATCATGACCCGAGCCGAAGGCAGACGCTTAACGACTGAGCCACCCAGGCGCCCCCCCCAGGGTATTATTTTTAATTGACCTGGTTCAGGGCTCATTCTTTGTGAACAACTCTCTCCCCCCAGTTTTGTACCCTCTTCCCCTCCCCCTTATCAAAAAATCAGCAGCAGCAATTGCTAAACATCACAGCAACTTGAAGTAGCATTATCATTTAAGGCCAACAAGAGGCAAAACAAAAAAGAAAAAAAGGAAAAAGAAAGGAAAATAAAAACACAAAATATTCAGAGGATATTTGAAAAGCTCTGACATATTCCTGGGAATCTGGATCACCACACACATGCATAGGACAGTGTATATGCCCAGGAAAGATTTGAGAAAGCTCTAATTTCTGACATCTGGCTGACTTTGAGACTCTGTACAAGGTGAAATTAAAGGCCAAAAAAAGCTATAAAATACCTGACAGAACAATGAAAATATGCCTCACCCAATACATTTACACAAAGGCTCTTGGCAAAGGCTGTGAGACTTATTGATTCAAGGAATTTAAGAGAAGCTCTGCCCAATCATTAGCTGACCCCTAAATTAGCAGATCCTTGATTGGCTGCACATAACAAAGAAAACAACATTTACAGACTCAGTCTACAAAGTTACTAAAGAAAAAGAAGAACAAAAACAAAGAGCAATGTCTTGAGAGCTATCTGATTTGAGTTGCCAAATTATATCATTTAAAATGCCCAGCTTTCAACAAAAAAATATGGGACCTGAAAAGAAAGAGGAAAGTATGGCTAACACACAGAAAAAATGCAATAAATAGAAACTGTGCCTGAAGAAATTCAAATGTTGAATTTATTAGACAAAGATGGTAAGTTGACTATTATAAATATGCTCAAAGAAAATATAACTAAAGAATTAAAGGAAGACACCAAAAGCAAAGGCAACAAAAGTAAAAATAAACAATAAATAAAGTGGGACTTCATCAAACTAAAAAGCTTCTGTACAGCAAAGGAAACCATCAACAAAATGAAAAGGCAACTCATGGGATGGGAAAAAATATCACTCATTAATCATCATCACTCAACATCACTAATCATCAGGGAAATGGAAATCAAAACCACAATAAAGTATCATGGCACACCTGTCAAAATCGCTATTATCAAAAAGACAAGAAAGATCAAGTGTTTAGCAATAAAATAAAAACAAAACCTTGACATTTTTGACAACACGGATGTACTTTGAGGGCATTATGCTAAGTGAAATAAGTCGGACACAGAAAGACAAATACCATATGAACTCACTTATATGTGGGATCTAAAAACAAAAAACAAACAAAAAAAAACCAAGCTCATATATACACAGTATAGACCGGTGGTAGCCAAGACAAGGGGAGGCAGGTGGGCGAAACGGATGAAGGGGGTCAAAAGGTACAAATTTCCAGTTATAAAATAAATAAGTCATGAGGATATAATGTACAGCATAGTGACTATAGTTAATAATACTATATCACATATTTGAAAGTTGCTACAAGAGTAAATCTTAAGACTTCTTATCACAAGAAAAAAATTTGTAACTATGTATAGTGATAGATATTAAATAGACTTATTATGGTGATCATTTTCCAATATATACAAATTATCATTACATTGTACACTTGAAACTAATGCTATATCAATTATATCTCAATAAAAAAAGAATTAGAAAAGGTATGAAAACATCTCAAAAAATAGAGACTATCAATAAAGTATAGAAATTGTTAAAAAGAACAAATAAAGAGAAGGAAATATGGAAAACTCACAAATATGTAGAAATTAAACAATACACTCCTAAGTAACCAATGGGTCAAAGAAATCTCAGGGGAAATTAGAGAATACCCTGAGATGAAGGAAAACTATAACACAACATGTCAAAATTCATGGAATACAGCAAAAGCTGTAATTAGAAGCAAATTTAAGGGGCGCCTGGGTGGCTCAGTGGGCTAAGTGTCTGCCTTTGGCTCAGGTCATGACCCCAGGGTCCTGGGAATTCCCGCTCAGCGGGGAGTCTGCTTCTCCCTCTGCCCCTCCCCCCCACTTGTGCGCACATGTTCTCTCACACACTCTCCTATCAAAAATAAATAAATAAATAAATTTTTAACAAGGTTTAAAAAGGGACGCGTGGGGGGCGCCTGGGTGGTTCAGTCGTTAAGCGTCTGCCTTAGGCTCAGGTCATGATCCGAGGGTACTGGGATCGCGCCCGCATCGGGCTCCCTGCTCCGCGGGAAGCCTGCTTCTCCCTCTCCCACTCCCCCTGCTTGTGTTCC